GGTACAAAACCAAAAAACTACATTAAAAGCATCAGCTCCAAACATATACCAGGTGACCTTCAAGACAGTGTACACACATTTGGGAAAAACAGATACAAATGCACAATTTATAAAGGAATCCAAATTAAAAGTTTTTGTGCATGGTTGGGAAGACATTTATTAAAATTGGGAGAACACATTTACTCTGGCTGCAGCTGAGCTACATTAATTCTTGGCTGCCCCCTCAAATTTGCTGGAACACATGCACACCCGGTTACTCCTTCAATTAGTTTTGTAAAACCAGCACACAACAGCTGTAGTAATAAACTTCTGCTACTCTGCAATGTCATTATCACCTAAGAAAAAAAGTTTAATTTTAAGATTAAAAGAGGTGTTGATACACCTTACCAAATTTCTAGAAGTCCTCTATGCCTTCATCCATACTTTAGAAATAAACTATTTCCTACAGCTGGTTGAAGCAATTGTTTGGACTACTGCCCCTCTAAATAATCTTTTTTTTTTCCCCTTCCCATTTCTGCACTGTGGAAACTGGAAAAAAGTAGAGCAACATGCCAATGGCCAGTACTTACGCATCTCCAAGAAAAAGAAGGCAGTTGCTCTCACAGGTTTTAAACAGATCTAACTTTTAAGCTGGAAAGCACATTTATATCATCATTTAACTTGAAAACTGAAAGCCCCCATGCCACTTCTTGTGTCCCAGTAAGAGCAGCAGTCAAAGCTGGAAATGTAGTACTCCTCCTGCCCTTGAACAATCTTCAAACTACTGCTTAAAATTAAAATATTTATGAATATTAAAAGTCTTATGAACAAAAGAAAAATCTATAGCAAACCTGACACTAATCACTGTGTTTACAAATTTACAATTTATAAAATGCCTTCAGGCAGAAGGAACTTTTCTGGAAAAGCATTTTATTTCAAGTCCCATATGAGCAATAGCTGATATGAAATAGCACTGATATTCTTTACTCATCTTCCTTCCCAACAATAAATTATTTTAGAATAGGTACTATTTTGAGACCAATACACCGTTTTTCTCCAGATGCTATCACAACACAGGAAACAAACTGCACCTTCAAGTCATGTAGAAAAGTTACCTTGCAGAATTTGGATCGTGGTTACTGAAGTAGACCAGGAAATCCTGCTCTCACTTCCACCACTGAAATGCTCTGCCACAGATCTGGTGTAAGAAAACTTATGAGTTGAAGCAAACATAGGCGATTCAGAAAACCATGCTACAAAGGCCTAATTCGAAATTAAAGGTTGATGAGTGCAGGTTATGCTTGTCACAAAGAATATTTTTAACTTTCATGCCAGTTATTTATATGTCACTAGAAAATGTTTTACCACCTAGTAATGCTTTACAGGGAGTAGCACAAATGACAAGCGAAAAGTCAAGACAAGAGCTTCTGGTACTGAACAACCCTGTTGTAACTGACATGCAGCAAGGGAAAAGCATTGAGGCTGCTCTGGTAATGTTAACTCTGAATTTCTTTTTTTTCTTACAATTAGGATTTCAAGACCTCACGTAATTCACTACATCAGCCAACATATCTGTGCAGCCCTAAGAGATCAGAAACTTCACTCAGCCCTGGAAGCAAAGGTACTTCCCTACCCCATAACCCTAAGAGCACACAGAAATTTCTTAAGGACCTAAAGAAAACAAAGGATTCCTGCAAGGAATCCTTTACTGCCACTACCTACTTTTGTATATCTTCTATAGACATAAAGATGCCTTCAGCCTCTAGGGCTGGAAAGACAGCATCTCTGATATGTACCTCTTTTAAACCTGTAGTTTAATAATGTTTCTTACAGTATCTTACAGGTGGGAAACTGCAAGATACAACCAACACATACTGAAATGAAAATCTGGTCTGTAAGGATTGTGTTGAACAAGATTGAAAGCTCTCATATCTCCCAATAAACGCTTCCCAAAAAAACCCACCCCAAAACTTAAAAAACCCACCCAAACAACAAACAAGCAGGATTTTTTTTAAAAAAGAATTATTACATTTTTCTCACACATTGCAAGGCTTTCAGATAAGGTGATGAGGGGAGGGAAATTAGATGATCTTACCCAGAGGCAAGCATCATGTACAGTACCTTGGAAAAAAACAGGGAAAAAATATTACACAAGTCAGCTGGCTCAGCAAGGATTAAGAAATACCTTGATAAACAGCTAATGATATGAAAGGCAAAGCTTTTGGCTCCAGCTCAGAAAAGTAATTACTCCCATCTGGGCACACAAAACCCAAGAAGGGCTACAGTTTCACATGGCACGGGAAACTTTTCACAGCCTTACAGTCTTTCTTTCATAGCTACATTGGGTGGGTGTACACCAAGTCATATTTAGGCCAACAGCTAAAAGTATACAAGACTATAAACAACGTTCTCACAGGGCACAGGTTACCTGTCCTTCCCATCAATGCGTGAAGCTGATGAAAATAGAGAAGAAACTTTAAGTGGTTGTGCTACTGTGAAATCCCACTGCTACTGATTTCATTTCTTTTTCTCATGCATATATATACCTGACTAAATAGTCAGCCACAACAGAGCTTTAAGGGGTTTCTTCAACAAGCCCTGACATTTGGATGAAACCACCAGACTTTCAAAAATGTAGCAGCAAATCTTGCATTCAAAAACCACTGCAGAGTAAGAAAAAGCATTTGACCGTTCTCATAAATACAGTCAAGTCTCCTTTCATAGCACAAGGCTTGAGTCAAGAAAGGTTTGCTTTCACTGGGAAAACTTTATTCTGCTATTTTTCTTGCTGTCTGCTTGTTTTATGTGGGTGGGGTGGTGTTTTTATTGTTCTGGACTGCATTTTAATTGATGGTAGAGTGCCTGGAGTTTGAATTGGCATCTCTTCCACTGTTTATGTTGAGATAAATAAATGTATTTCCCCCCTCTTTTTTAAAAATTAAATACATGCCATACTCTCACTTGCTAAAAACAAAGCAGGCTGCTACAAAAAAACCAAACCATCACAAAACAAACAAAAGCTTTCAGATGGCACAAATAATCTACCAAACTCCTGCTGCAAGGAGTTCACCACCCAAAAGCCTCATCCTTGCTTACTACCCTCTGAAAAACCCTCAAAGACCAAAAAGCAGAAATACAACAGTGGAGGCCAGCAGTACTGTTCAGTGGCTTAATGTCTGTGTAATTCTGAGGAGGAGACTGAAGATCAGATTTTGATCCTCAAGCACCAACAACTATGGGGATGGAAGCATGCTAAACAGGTAAGATATATTCTCAAAAGAAAATAAGGCAGATTAATAACTCCTTCTCAAGCTGTTCTTAAAGAGTTTGGTTCTGTACTGAATGGAGAGTCACTGAAGCAAATGCAACAAGGGAGGGAGGGAAGAGGTGGTCTATCCAGGCAGACATGGCTATTAAAAGAAGGAAAAAAAACCAACCTAAAAAACCCAATGCCCCTCCCCAAATAAAAAACCCCAAACCTACAAGTATAGCCTTATATTAATCAAAAACTCAAAAATCTGAAGTTTTTGTTCACAGGCGATGTGAAAACAGAACCTGTATCAATACTCAAAACTGACACTAACCAGCCAGCTTCTAAAGCACCTCCAGAGCACTCAAACAGAAATATGCTGTTACTGACGCTGCCAAAATAAGACTTTTTTTTTTATAGCATAGAAACATTTGCAATCTATGTTTTCTGACCTAGTAATTAAGAAAATTGCCCTGCTACGATCGGACACAGAAAAAAAGTCTTAGTTTTTACTCAGCTATTGATTCAATACTTACTACAATAGTAGTTGGCACTGCTATTACTCCAATGTTCTGCTATTCCAGGGGAGGAAAAAAAAGAAGGAAAAAAAATAGAGGAACCACACACACGCACACACCCCCCATCCAAACAGCAAGCTGGAATTATTTAAGGAGAAATAAAGTGTCAGCACCAAGCTAAATTGTTCTCATTATCCAAAGAATTTAAAAAATACTTTAATATTACACTTGCATGAAAATTGTATGAGCTCTTCATGCCAGGCAGTGTTTCAGCATGCTCCCCAAGTGCACACAAACAAAAAACATATGACAAACTGTTGTCTCCCAACTGATTAAAGTATTTCTTCCTGGCACAGAAAAGCACTTAGTTAACTGCTGTGAGTCTGGGCCAACAGAAGTATTCCACCCACTACTAAGCACAAAGTTCAAACCTGAACACAAATATGCTTCAAAAACGTACAGCTTCTGAAATACGAGAAAGAGTATGTCTGAGCAACTTGTTTTCAACCCTGAGCTACTTGGTGAGTTGAAAGAACTGATAGAGTTGGATGAGTCCAACTGCACCGTGTCTCTCTCAAGCACGTTTGGAAAACGTGGAATGTGTTAAAATACTTCCTTTCGTATTTTAAAATACAATGCCAAAACATCTTAACAGCAATAAAGCCACATCAGCCTAACATACACACAGAATGAGGGAAAGAAAAGCCTACATACAATGTTTAATATGTGTCAGTTTCTTTCTGTTGCGGTATTCACTTGTATGGCAAAGTTCCAGATACCATAACCATCCAGAGCAAGTGAGTTTGAAATGCCCAAAACTGTGGGTACACACAAGCCGTACAGTCTAATACACCATCCAAGATGAAGAACCCCTATGCCTTTCACAATTTTTAAAGAGCTGATAACTACTATTGGCCAAATTCCAAATGTCACAACCCACTGAAATCTAGTAGTTTGTTCCATGGGTGGTGCAAAATCAAAGATAAAATCCAATTTTTCATATTCTTTTTTTAAACGCACAGCTAAACCAAGTTATTTGTACACAAGGCTTGACGTCTTATCAGAAGAGCTTCCAGTGTTTTGTACCTTGATACTCAAAAGACAGGGAAGACAGCCTAAGAGCTACTCGCTCCCTTCCTAAGTAGTCTCAAAAAACACAGGCACTTGGATCACTGAAGAGCAGGCACATTAATGGACAGTAACTATACTGCAAAGGTATCTTGTATGCATTTTTTTTCCCAGATGAAGCCTACCTGTTTACTTTTTGTGGCCTTTCCAGCAAGAGACTTGCTTCCTTTAGCACCTTCCATGTTTCTTAAAACATTGATGAAATCTTTCTTTGAAACAGATGACAGCAGTTTAGCACGCTGCCTGTCAGAGCTCCCAGCTTTCTTCACCTTCTCATCAACGTTCTTTTGGTGCGTCCTGACAGCATTAAATAATTGTACAACACCTCTAGGATGGGGGAAAGAAAATAAAAAACCAAAACAGTTTTTAGCTCAAGTTCCCTTTACAGAAATGAACCCGCTACCAAAGCAACTCATCAGTGCAGACACTGGATGGCTTCTAGCTCCCCAAAATGGTTACTTAGAACCTCAAATCAGTTAAGAAGTAACATTTACTACAACATAAGAGACCTTCAATTTTCACTCTTCCTTCACACTTATTGCTAGGAACCAATAACAAACAAATCCACAAATAACTATTCAGACCCCAAAATAAGCATGGTAACATGGGACTGAGATCAGTGCAACAGCATGTTTCATCCCCAGAAGCATGTTACTCATCCTACAATCAGCTATTAAATTCCTCAGGCAAGATCTTTAGGGCAGTTGAAGTAGGGGGACAAGGCAGAGGAATGAGTAAGGAGACGGATACAGACAGCACATCAAGGTGTTCTACTAGTTCTGCGACACCAAACTACTGCAATGCAGAACAGACAACTGAACTTAACAGTGGTGGATCTGGTGAATCCTCTGCGGAGAAGGAAAAAAGAGCAGTAGAAACAACTGTTCTGCATTTTTAAAGCATTAAATTAACAAAATGAGGGGATCCAACAAAGCACTTTTGTTAAGCAAACATTACATTCTTATCTACATTTTTACTCTTTCACAAAGCTTCTGAAATCTTTTGTTGAACTTGATACTGTACAATGCAGTCCTGTATATAAATCACTCAGCTCCTGCTAGTCACTTCTTAAGAGTTCAATCTGATCAGAAACAGATTACCTGCACAGCCCTTCTCTTCCCCTTTTCGGTATACATATATTTAAGGAAAGCATTCAGAAAAAACTCTTACCTCGTGGCAATTCTCTGAAGATTTCTTTCTCTGTCTCGGTCTTTGACAACATCTGGCTTCACTCGGCACATCATTTCCCACTCCCGCTTTTTATCGAGCTGCGTTATAAATATTGTTACGTGAAACAACATGGAACATTTGAGAATGCAGCATACTCTGATAGAGTATGTAGCAGGAGGAAAGAAAAAGATAAATCAACAAAGCTCAGTTTGGTTTGAGGGTAAGGGGAGCTCCACTATGGGGCTGGACAACAGGTCTGAGGCAAGTCTCTTGCACTGACACCCCAGGAGCCACAGTCAAATCGCACAGTCACTTGCCTTCTGCCGCAAAAACTAGAAGAGTCACACCAGAGCAATGCTTCTAGCTCAAGACAAGCACAGGGAGTCTGGAAACTAAACTCAAAATGCTTTCACGCTGACTGCTACGGACAAGGAAATTATCCAAAGACGTTTTTTAACTCCAAGACTTCACAAGCTGATCACAGAGAAATTTATACATAATAAAATGCTGGATATATCAAGACAGGCATGTCACATTTTGAGCCCTGGGAATTTGACTTCCCCCGCTGAATTAATCACGGTACAGCTTTGTGACCGACAGTGATGCACAGCAAAAACTACAACGGGCAGAACTTAAACACGAGGAAAAGCACCAAGTGCCTACCAGAGAACAACTCCTGTGTATAACAGTGATTTTTGTCCTTTTTTGAGGCTCTGAGTTTGAAAAACAAACTGATCCGCTTTTGCATTACCAGGGGCCACAACACTACCAGCTTTATTTCTGCTAGAATAGAAGAACACTGTACTTCCCCAGCATCTGCTTCAGGAGTAAGGTAATGAAATATTTTTTCCCCCTTTTAACAATTTAACAGTGTTCTAGGCCTGGTGATGTTGCATTAGTTCTGTTTTATGCAAGAAGTCTTTCATGGAATTTCAGAGTCCTTATCTTTATAATTCTAGGCAGACTACCACAAATTTGTGAATTTGCAATCATGTTTTGGCCTTTTATCAAAAGAGCTGCCCTATTCTAGCTTCCATCAGCAAGAAATTAATAGAAGGCAGAGAGTTCTCAAGTTTTTCTACGAGCAAACAAGTCAGTCTGGGGACCTGCAGCCCACATCTGCTTTGCAGTACTCCCACATATTTACTGGATAAGAACAGGTATTTAGGACAACCATAAGTGAGCAGATGCCACACTGAAGCCCTCTGTATTTAAAAGGCAGGCCGTGGCCCAACCACAGCATGTCCCAGACTGTCAGGTGGATAACCTGGTTATCCCATTGAAACAGAACAGGTAAGATGAGACATTAGAACTATTAATATATTTTTAGCCTGAAGGTAAAATCAATCACAGCCTGGAATTAAAAGTTCCACTAAAGACACATAAACAAATGACTTGATTGCCAACATAGTTCTGTTTTCTTCGTAACAGTTTCAGAACCAGAAGCAATTTAGGGCACAGACACTGTAATAGAAAACTCCTACCAGCAAAATCATCGAGGGGAGCAAACAATGATTCACAAACACATCAATGATTACTGCAATCACAACCTAGAGGTCTTTGATTTTGGAAGTCACAGCAGAATTTAAATGAAAGCAGTTTTCTTTCTCCCTTTCACTTCTGTTGAGAGAACTATTTCAACTTGTAATGCTGACAAAGTGAATTATACCCCAAATGAACAACAGTAATTAGTAAACTAAGCTTAAAGGAGCTGCTTTCACCTTCTCAACAACAAAAACACCTTAAGCTGACAGACTGGAACAGTCCCGCTGCCAAAGATCAGGCTGCCTGATGGCCCAGAAAAAGCAGTAAGGGAAAAAGCCCTGCAGCATGACTGTCTGGAAAGCCAAAAAATTGATGCTACTTGAGATCACTGTGGAGAAGAGATTCCAAAACTGAGACAGCCTCAGAGCACTCTCCCAAATCCCTGCTGAGGGAATCTTGCATGTATCCCAATCTGACTGTGACTGCACAATAAAATACTGCATCTTTTTCTCACCTTCATCCTCTTCTCCAGCCTTTCTTGTTTTTCCTTTTCTCTCTCCTTCTCCAGTTTTTTATTTTTGGCCAAGATTGTGGACTTATTTTGTGGAATCTTTTTGTTGAGCACTTTTGCCATGGCATCTGCCCAGCCTGCACTTGGGCCAGCTTTGGAGCTTGCTGCCTCTTCAGCCGCATTGCCAAGGGCTGCTGTTTCATCTTCATCATCACCATCCAGGGCTTCACCTCCTGAAGAGTAGCTGTCTTCTGGAAGTCCTGAGCTTAACTCAGAATCTAGGGGTAAAAAAAAGAAACAAAAAAAGTATCAGGAGTTCTGTTTCTAGTAAGGATCCATCACTAGCATAATTTGCTCCATATGCAAATGTTATCCGAGTTCAGGGCCATGTACTGCTTACTGTTACAATTAATCCCTCAAGCACACATACACCACCATAATGAATTTATTAGAAAGTATCCAGTGCAAGTGCTTGCTCATCTCAGCGATGATTTAAAGTGATTTAAGAGGTTGGGTAAAAGGGAAAAGGCAGCCTTGGATATTTATTATTAGTGAAAATTTTGACAATTATTATTAATGAATATTTTAATGTTTAGGAGTGGTAAGTTTTGGGAAAAAAATATATTTTCCAGTTCAAAAATAATTTATAAACACATATACATGCACATATGTATGTATATATGTATGTGTGCATGCACATACCTACATACAAACTGCAATAGTGACATCTAGTGTTTAAATGCAAACCGCCACATGAATTAAATTGAAGGTAGGGGGGCATTTTTTACGTGAAAGCAAAATCTGCTCAAGGAAAATAATGCCAGCAAAAATACAATTACCTAAGCATAATGAAGAAAGAAGGGAGAGTGCTTTGTGAAATCCAGAATCAAGACAGTTGTCAGGTAGCTCAAAAGAAACCAGAGGTGCTGAGCTTTTCTGGTATAAGTAACTGCTCAAGTTCTTGCTACACAAATAAAACACCTCCAAATTCAAGTTTCCTTACCCTAGGCTTCCTTCAGAACAAAAAAGAAGGAATTACAGTGAAAATACTGAAGTTTGGAATCAAGCAACAGCAAGACAAGTGAGAACAGCCAACTAAATGGCAAATCACACACATGAAGAATCTACCGCTTCCCTCATTAGTCTGTTCAGTGGGTCAAATGGCAAAAATAAAGCCTTTAATGGTGCGGATGATTAACTAGAATGAAACAGGATGCAAGTTTAGGGTGTGCTAAAATACATTTGGTGGACCCACTTTATCGTACAATCAAGAGCAAAGCATACAAGTGTCCTGCGACTATTAACTACCATTCTGCTAATATTTGTGCCACCTAAAAAGTTTTAAATTAATTATCTTATATACAACTTTCAAGGCCACAACTCAAGTGCTGGACAGAAGGAGGCTGGTTTCTGACACTTCTGCAGTCCCCCTGCAAGGGGACAACTCCCCACCAACTCTGAGATATCAGCTGACTGGCTTTCATCCATCTACCACTCTCACACTACTTCAAAAAGCGTATTTTAAAATCACAACGTTAAGTACTACTGAGCCAAGTGCTTTACTTTGCAAGCACTACTATATCCCGTGAGCTACCTTTATCAACCAAATCACTAAGAGAATGAAGTCAGGACTGCTTCACAATATCTGTTTTCTGTAAAACCATGCAGATAGCTATTAATGATATTCCCTGTCAATCAATTGCCTATTTAATTACTTAAGAAATATAAACATACACTCTGTTGCCAGGCTAACTCATTACTCTGCCTTCTCCATGTGCCTTTTTGAACCAGCAATAAAACCCTATGTAGCAGCAAAACAGTGGTGTTAACCAATTTAAAACAAAGCCTCTAATGCCCAGGCATGTTTAGAGGCTCAAAGAGCATTTAGTTATCATCATGGAAAGAAGCAAGATTATATGTTTACATCACAAATGTGGAAGAGAAATACTTACTGAATACTTGCTCATTATCTATATCAGTATGATTTTTACCACCACTGAGGTAAACACAGTGTTGTGTCATGCTCCACGCAGAATAAGTTACGGGTTTTTTTTCAACAGTCCTGACTATAAATTGGATATTTAGAAGTAGTGAATTTGTTCAACACATTCAGAAACTACTAAAGGCATCCTTTTATGATAACAGTATGTCTCCATATCCTGATTTCCAAATTTTTTTAAAAATTCAAACCACTACATGTGAAGAAGTGCATCACCACATCCTGGTTCCTACACATAAAACAATTTGTCAGGTTCTCACCCTTAAGCCTTGTCCATGCTAGAATATTGCTATGTAGTTTTTAAACAAGGAATCAACCCCTACTTGTGCCTTTTTATACATACAAAAGCTAACAGCTACCAAAAGTCCAAACCTGAATTCCACACACTGCTTAGGACCGACTTCCACAGTTAGCCATAAAAACCAGATCACAATTATAAAAATGAAAATTGCAAAAGCATGTATTAGTCTCCTTTACATAATATTTTCTGCCAATAAAATAGGAGGATAATGCCAGATAATACCAACAACATTTTGCTTTCAACAATTACAGAAAGATGACCAAGGCTTCAACAACCAGCCATGACTTAATCTTTAATACATCAGAGGATCTGTCAACAGCATAAGATAAAGCAGAAGTATTTCAAAGTAATTTAAACTAGATTAACTCTATCAGAGTAGAACCTGGGGCTCTACTCTGAATTGCCAAGATTGAAGCCCAGCATAGGTTTAATATAAATGTCTGTATATGTGTGGGAAATATACATACACATCTTCATACTTTATTCTTCTGAACATGCTCAGTAATCTAGGTGTAGACACATATAGTTAAAAATAGCAACCATTCAGAAATGAGCTCTGAAAGAAGCTCCCACACAAGGCTTCCCCTTGGGTTCAGTTTTGGACCTCAAACCAAACACTGTGAGCTACAGCTCCAAATGGCCAGAAATTTGATTCCTCCCAGAATAAAGGAAAAAAAAAATCCAATTACATGATATAATTAAGAAGCAATCACAACTAGTGAGGTATACCCTCACAACACATGAAGAGGCAAGAATAAGTGGAGAACCATGTATAAACGATGGAGTACGAGTCTGTTTATATGCTGTGCTCTCCTGGTGGATTACTGTAATTGGCGTATCTTACGGGTTTCCTTTGGAGCAGGAAGCAGATCCTCGTCTCGGACAGACAGACAGCCCATCACACCCCGGAGCTCGTCCAGCTCTGCCCAATCACCCCCCGCCCCCAAGAAAGGGGTACCCCAGAGACACGCGGCAGCGAAACTTATTTTGGTGGGCCCAGGGAATAAACGAGCTGCTGTCAGTACTCCGCGGGCTAAGCACAAAAAAAAAAAACAACAGAAAAACCAAAAGCGACAGCGCAGGGAGGGCAGGGCCGGCGGGCAGGGAGCAGACACACCACCAGGCACGGCGGGGAAACCACCCGCACGGAGCACCCCGCTGCCTCCACCCCACCGGGAAGGGGCTTCGACAGGCGGCTGGGCTCCCGCCATCCCGCGCCAACCGGCTCCAACCCTCGGCCCAGGCTCCGGAGGGGAAGAAGGAGGGGCTCGGGCCCACCGGCGGGCTCGGACGGGGCAGAGAGGAGCGGCCAACGGCGGGGGCCGGGGAGGCCTTAGAAGCCCGTCCGAGCACAAAGCGACCCAACCCCCTTCCCGCTCCTGCCGGGGAAGCGGCGCCCGTTACCGCTGTCCGCCTGCTCGGCCACCGCAGCCCCGCGTCCACATGGGCCCACCACGGCGGCCGCCATCTTTCCCAGGGTCCAGCTGACACCGCCTTCCGACCCGGCCCCCCGCACTGCGAATCTGCGTTCCGGCTCTAAAGGTTCCGGGCAGGCGAGCGGCGGCGGGGTCCCGGGCGGGAGAGGCGGGTAGGCGCCTCAACCAACCTGACAGGATCTGCTGGGGTTTTCTTACTGAACAAGCGACAGAAATAAAAAAATAAATAGAAGAGAGAGGTCTGCCTGGGCTTCTCCTCTCCCTCAGGCCCGGGGAGGTCCGTGGGTCTCGGGCGCTGGGCTGCTGCTCCTTTCAGCAGTGGGCAAAGCCCAGAGAGGCCCTGAGGGCCTCTCCTCCAGGGGCTGTTACCGCCTTCAGGGACGCCATCTTGGGGTCACCGCCACCCACGGATACGTGGCCTCGCGTTTCCGTGTGTTGAGAAAGGCTGTCTCAGCCAAAGCGTGGAAATAACCCTGCAAAAGCCCAAACCCGGCAAAGCCAAGGCTCGTTATTCTCTGCTAGTTATTCTTTTCCACCTCTGAGAGCCACAGTGAACGTGGCAATGATAAAAATAAACTCGTTATATTTGCTGTAGATTGCGTGGTGGTGGGAAGAAGTATTTGAAGTCCCACCTTCACAATGCTTGTGGCCCTAAGAAAACTTAGCCACACTTTCAAACATTGCTTTGAGGCCCAAAAGGAGGACAGTTTTTAACATGGGGAGGAATGAAAACCTGAAATTATCTTTTGTTGGCTTTTCACTCAGTCAAATTTTTTAAAAAAAAAAAGAACATTTATTACATTCCCTTAAAGATACACCATTTGCACACTGATGCTTCCACATACTATTTTGAATATGGGTTTTCTACACTAGAGGTGTCCTCTGAGGATATTCATGGGAGGGTGTTCTCAATCCCTCAATCAAAAGTTACTCTGCGCTGGTATCTGTGGGGTGGATGGGCTCAAACCTCCTCAGACACCGAAGGGCACGTGGGCCCCAGAGAGGTGGGTAGGCCATGGACCCTCTGTAAACAATTCTGCTTTTCTTCTGCGTGTCTGAAATGACCTGTTCTACCACAGGTCTCCTCTGGGATGTTAACCTCCACATGACAATTACGGTATCCACCCAAACCACCCTGATCTAATGCTTAGCATGAGGAGCTTAAGTCCTAGATTGCTCACTATGCTTTACATTCTTTTACAAATTTTTCAGAATAAGAGTTTAGGATGCTAGAAATTTTTGCAAACTCCTGTTCAGTTGATGTACTGAAATCCCTTTCTCTTAATGGTAATATTTGTTTTTAGCACTGGGTGTTCAGAAGAGCAGGCTATCCACCATATGTAGAAAAAAAAAATCCCTCTTACCTTAGGTTAGAGAATTTCTTATCTTAGTTACACTAAGTTTCTGTCACTTCACAACCAGTAAATGGACACACAGATTTTAAGGCCAGACTGTAACACTACTGGTCATCCAATTACTCAATTTGATGCATCTGTAAGTATATCTTGAAAAAAGCCCCAGCTAGAACACCAAAACTGTAAAAGAGGCAAATCTTCTCAGGCAACTTCTTACTTAAAAGCACTCCAAGCTAAGCAAACAAAAGTTTGTTATCAAGAACTGCTGTTATTGTAACAGTTAAACATGCTGGTAGGCAGAAGCTCCAGGATTCCTTGGAGCCTAAAGGTGCAGTACAAATAACCTTGGACATTGAAAAGCATTTCTATAGATATGAGTATAGATAGTAATGTATTTGAGAAGATTTGCCCAAAACGCTTGCTGTCTTAGGTCATAATCATTAAACATGATCATATGGATGAAATATTACACTCCTCTCCACCTTCACTGACAGCTTAGAGAGTCTGTATGCATAAACATGTATTCAAATAAGGAATGGTGGCTCACATTGTAAATGAGTTGCAAGGCAGTGCTATCCTTAGATATTAATGATCTCAGAGTGGTGGTCTGATTTTAAGATGACTTTGTTTGTTTTTAAAGCTCAATTGTCATATGATGGTGCCTCAGAAAAAAATTACTACAGGAGAAAAATGTTACATGTAGAGTATTTTTCAGTATTTTGCAAGTTTTAAAATCTTTAAAATGCTATTTAATTTCTACACCCTGTATTTTTGTAAATAAATATTTCATTTGTTATCGCTACCCTGCAAAGTCAGTGGCCTGTGTCTTTGTACTTCTGTCATTCCGTGTTTTTTTCCTAATGATGTAGGTGGCAGCCAAGATTTAGCAAATTTGTTTTGCTACCTCAGTATCAGGTGGAAAAATTAGAAGTTGAAGAGAGGTCAGAAGAGAGTGACAGAAATTATTACATGGCCAGGGAAACTGTTTCACGAGGAAAAGATTATCAAGGCTAAATATGTACGTCTTGGTTGAGTGCCAGCTAAGGACAAACAGCATTGGACTTACTGTTTCAATCATAAGCTGTCCTGCAGAGAAGAGCTATGTGGAAAGAATTTCAGTCTAATTCATTGTTACAAGCAAAGAGAAACCCTGTGCTGAAAAATTTGGGCCTCTGCTATGATCTGCAGAGGAAGAAAGAAACCATAAGCATCGCCATAATTTTTAATGAAGAGGCCTAAGCTTTACAGGAGACATAATTCCTAATGTTTTATACTGTAGGGCTCAAATGCTAGGGTGTCTGCCGATACCAAGCACTAACCATTTGGTCACGTCTGCTATGTGATGATAAAGACACCATTTGCTTGGCATGATTCATCTCTGAATCACGTTGCATCAGAAGGGACACTGCTAGGAGAAGGTTATTGAACTGCATAGGTAAAAAGCTCTTCCAGTATGGCAATTACAGTCCTCATTTCCTAGTACACACACCTTATTGAACATGTCTTTTACTCTTGGTAGCGTATTTGTCTTGGAAGTATGTCAAAATCTTCAGATTAAGTCCTGTAATAGGTTCTAATAAATGACGGGTCTGAACCTTCTTCCCTCAGACTGAATTAACAAGTCACATCTCTGATAGCATACTTCTCTCCACAAGCATTATCCTCAAGCATTTGTCAGCAAATTTGTTGCCAAACCTCATTTCAAGTGACTGTCATTGTCTCCCATCACTCTGGCCTGAATGTTTTTCTGTATTGAAATTGTGGTCTGAGGAACGCTGGGGATACAACCAGCCTACAAAATCTTTCCAGCCCAGACAAAGCAGCAGTTACCTCCCAGTTTATCATTGTCAGCAGCATCTGAAGAGCAGCAGAGGCACAAGCTGGCATTCTGCCTGTACAGGTCTCTAGTAAAACCATGGCTAACGAGGCAGTGCATGAAACTTTACTCTGTGGATGCAGCAGAGCCAACGTCTGAAAAAAAGCTGTCAAAAGGAAGGCACGGGGATTTGCAATCCTAACATTTTTTTCTGAGATTTTAAATGCGTTAGATTTTTTTTTTTTTTGGCTTAAAGTTTAAATATCAACAATACTGGGACACTGCCCAGTTGAAGTGGTTACTGTATATTCCTCATTACAAAAATAGCAGCAGCAAAATGAAGACAGAATGTCCCTTTGGTTTCTCTTTGGAGTGGTAAAGCTCCCTTCTGTCCTGGTCTGTTCTAGAATTACAGAGAACACGTAGATCCCAGCAATGTGCTAAGCAAAGTGACCGATGTCTGCCATACGACTGTTGTCAGTTTGCCTCTAGGAAGGAAATTTGTGTGATGCATTTCAACACAAATGTGCAGAGGGTTTATTTAAGAGAAAACAAGGTCAGAGAAACATACCTTGTGCTTAAACAAGGTAGTAAAGTTTTGTATTATCCTTAATTCTTCTGGGAAATTGCTCCACAGGCTTCTCTCATTCTGTGCAAAGGTACTCTTGCCTATGTAGGCAGAATTACCCTTATTCTAAAAAGTTCAATCATGCCATAGTTATCAGCGGTGATCTTCATCCCAGAGCGTAGCCTCTCAGATATCCTCGGCGCAGACCACTGGGAGCCTTAAAGATAGGAGTCCAGTTTTGACTTAATTGGATAGGTGTGCAAGTAAATGCAGGGACCTGCTGCCTCCAGTGGCCCATGGATCAAGATCTTCCTGCTTAAATTTCTGTAGAATAGAAATGAAAAAATAATATAATTGTGATAATTTCTAATATAACCCCTTGTTCTGTGCTGGAAATTATTGTTGGCATCCATGAGAATTGAGCATTGTAGCATCCTTCATATGTTTTTGTCATTATCTGTCATTATCTGTGGCATTATCCTCAGCTTCCCAAGTACTGAGGCCTTATTATCCCAGCTGAACAGCTCGCTGTTTCTGATCTGTCTGGCTGTGTTTTCTTTTCCTGCTTTCCCCTATGGCTGCTACTGCTCTCTTCCTCTTCACTTGGTGAACAAATTGCCTTGACTCACACATATCCCCTGAACAATTGCCCTTTCGGTTCCAATAAAGGCTGAATCCCAAGCCAGTATAATAAAGTTCAAAATCTTTGCCACTTTTGTAGGTTGTATTCACAACCTGATTCTTGCCCTAAAAGAGATCAATAACACCAGATAGAAGATGAGCATGATAAAGCTCTCTGATGCCCCAAGATTTAAACATGCTTATTCTAATTTCTATTTCTTTAGTTTAGCTGATGCCATGTTTTCCCCGCGACTCTGCAGGGTATTTTCAGATGAAGAAAGAAGAGCAGTTCATGAGTAAATCACAGAATACTGTGCTGTCACATAATAACTACTGCTCTAATCTCGTATTAAATAAAACTCATATAAACTGACATTTAATAAATCATAATAAAATACTACCTGGTTCTCTTCAAATGTTTTGCCTCATGAAAGTTCTAGTCCAGCTCCCAGCAAGGGCAAGTGGAAACTTCCTATTTCATTCTGTGGGTATTCATTTGGCCCCTGAGTCTCACAACCGCCAGTGAAGTAAATCTTAATGTTTTTAGGAGGGAGACACAAAGGGGTAAATACAACATTTTCAAACCTTTATGCTTGTATTTGTGAACATAAATGCACGTTTTTAGACTTAGCTGAATACTTCTGCAACTGTTAGCTACCTAAGCAATGACAAC